AAAAACAAGGAATAGGAAAAATATCCTCAATACACATGTAGCTCAGTATTAAGCTCTTCCTAGCATGCATGAGGACCTGGTTTGATCCTGAAACTGCCAAAAAAAAAAAAAAAAAAAAGCAGAGAGACAGACAGAGACAGAGGAAAAAAAGAGAGAATCTCAAACATGATGAAGGCCATCCATGGAAACCCACAGCTAAATCATACAATCTGTGGCACACAGCCAGTTTGGTCAATGACAGAGTACATATATGCTAGCTGTCCCCTAAGGTACATAATTGCTAATTATGCTGTTGCATTTTAAGTTTGTGTCAGTACACATATGATGTTTACAATGACAAAATCGCCTAACACGTGTTTCCTAGAACATTACGCAACGCTTTAAGCAACATATACTGTGCTTGCTAGGAACACTGAAAGCTTTCCCCAGAAGATCAGACAAAGACAAGAATGTCACTGTCCACCATTTCTACACTGTATCGCCAAGAAAATTAGGCAAGAAAAATAAGAGGCATTAATGGTAAGGAAGAAGTAAAACTATTTGTAATTGTATTTGATGTGACTATAGATAGATAAATATTCTACATAGAGATAAATGAATTCAGTAAAACTGCAAAAGATTAAAAATCTACTTACAAAAATCAGTTTATTTCTATACTAGCAATAAACAGTCCAAAAAGGAAATTTTTTAAAAATTTATAACATCAAAAAAAAAACCTAGAAATAACGTTAACCAAAGAGTTGTAAGACTGTACAATAAACCTTATAAAACAATTTTAAAAAATTAAGATTAAAAAAAAAAGAAAGACATCTATGCCTTGGATTCAATGATTTACATTGTTATGATTAGTAATACTTTCCAAACTGATTTAAAAACTGAATGCAGGCGAGATTCCAAGATGGCGGCTAGAGAGAGAGCAGAAAAGCGTACCTCCTATAGCGAAATTGGAGAAAGCTGGAGAACACCAAATGTGTGCCTGCCCAAATGCTGGAGAAATGCTGGAGACACACCAAATGTGTTGCCAATGCAGGCAAAACCACCGAGAAGAGGCAAAATTTGACCCCCACACCTCCAGCAGGCACAGAGCATCTCACTTCACGTTTAATGGAGAAACCAGGAGGGCCCCCGGGCCGCCAGTTTGCCCGTGCACAGATGGCTTGGGAAATGTGGACAAGTTTTGTTCTACTTTATGCGTCCCTTTGATGGACAATTACAGAACAACATCTGAGGCACCGCTGCAGGATGGAGACTGAGACAGACACCAAAATTATTAAGACTGAAAACTTCATTGCACTTGAATTGGAGGTTTTTTTTTTTTCTATTTTTCATTTTATTTTATTTATATATATATATATATATTTCATTCATTTACTTATTTTTATTTTTATTCTACCTTTATATTCTTTTTATTTTTTAATTTTCAAATCTTGTTCTCTAATGCCTGTTTCTGTCGAATAGTACACTAACGCTCCTGTTTATACCTTGAATGTTTTGTTTGATTCCTTGTTTTGTTTTTTCCTAATGTTTATTTATTTGTTTTTCCCTTTAACTTCTTGCTTTCCATCTCCTCTCAGCCTTCCATTCTAAATATCACCACTGTTATTATTACAAGCGAGAACATACTTAATTGCACACAGTACAAGGGACAGTAACCACACCAAGGACAATGACAGGAAGAGAGAAAAACAGGAAAACCAGTTCCCCACAACAAAAAATTAGTACAGGAACCAGAGGGAAATGAAGAAAACAGATACAGATCCAGACTCACAAAAATGAAGATAAACTATGCCAAAGGACCCAATGAACCCACAAGAATAATTTAAAAGAAGACATACTACAGGTACAATGAAATTTATTAGAGTGATACAGGAGGGGTCAACCAAAATGTACAGGAGACACTCAAGAAATTCAGACAACAAAATAGAATTTGAAAAGCAAAAGAGAAGATAAAGGAAACCATAAGCATGTAAACACCAAAGTGAAACAGAGAACACAATGAATAAACAGATAAATGAACTCAGGACAAAAATAGACAATATTAAAGAGGAACACCTAGATATGAAACCTCAGAAAAAAGAACAAAAACAGATTGCAAAACAAACGGAAGGCCAATCCAGCAGAATAGAACAAACAGAAGACAGAATCTCAGAACTTGAAGATGAAATGGTAATTAAAGGAAAAACCGAAGAACTATTAATTAACCTCCAAGACCTGTGAAAAGAAATGCAAAAAACACCGACCCACCAAAAGACCAAACTTGAGATCATGGGCATCGAAGGAAGAGAGAGGTCAAGCGAAGGGAATGCACAATATATTCAACACAAAATAACAGAAAATTTCCAATCTAAGAGAAAGATATTCCCATACACATGCAAGAGGCCTCCAGGACACCAAACAGATCAGATGAAAAAGAACTATCACACGACATATCATATTAAAACAACAAGTTCAGAACTAGGGAAGAATATTGAAGGCTGTAAGAGAGAAAAACAAATAAAGACAAAGGTAAACCTCATCAAATCACAGCAGACTTCTCAAACAGAAAATTAAAAGCAAGAAGACGGGGGTGAGATCTTCCGGGCACTGAAGAAGACACTTCAACCCCAGGATACTCTACCCAGCAAAACTATCCTTCAAAATAGATGGAGCAATAAAGTCTTCCAAATAAACAGAAACTAAAACAAATGTGACCACAAGGCTACCACTACAAAGATTCTTCAAGAGGATTCTGCCACAGACATGAAACCAACTTAAACCATGAAAGACAGGCAGCACCAAACCACAGGAAAAGAAAAAGCAAAGAAGCAGAGAGTAACCTCACTTAGGTAACACAATAAACCTTCAACAACTAAGACAACTAAATGAAAGAATCACCACATACCTATACTAACGCTTAATTTAACGGGGACTTATTCACCCATCAAAAGGCACCCGCTTGACGAAACTGGATTAAAAAAGGAAGATCCAACAATTTGCTGCTTACAGGAGACCATCTCTCTTCATGGCTGCATAAATTCATTGTGTATAATACGAGTAGAGGACATTTTTAATCCATTCGTGCAGTAGTGGGGATCTTGGCTGTTTCCATAACTTGGCTATTGTGAATAATGCTGCAATAAACATGGGTGAGGTGCTTTGGAGTAACATATGTCACAGTCTTTTGGGTATACCCCAAGAGTGGGATTGCTGGATCATATGGTAGATCAATGTTTAGCTTTTAAGTAGCCTCCAAATTTTTTTCCAGAGTGGTTGTACTTAGTTACATTCTCCACCAGCAGTGTAAAAGGGTTTTTTTCCACGCATCCTTCGCCAACACCTGTTTGTTTGGGTGTTGCTAGATGGCTGTTTCAACAGGGGAGGTGGAATCTTTGTGTGGTTTTAATTTGCATTTCCTTCATTGCTAGACATGGTGAGCATTTTTTTCATGTGTTTTTTGGCCATTGAATTCTTCTTTTTGAGAAGTCTGTTTAGTTCACTTGCCCATTTTTATTTGTTCATTAGTTTGGGAGAATTTAGTTTTTTAAGTTCCCTATATATTTGGTTATCAGTTCTTTTGTCTGATATGGTAGCTGGCAAAGATTTCTACCACTCTGTGGGTGTTCTCTTCAGTTTAGAGACCATTTCTTTTGTTGAGTAGAAGCTTTTTAGTTTTATGAAGTCCCATTTATTCTATGCTATCTCTTAGTTGCTGTGACTGCTGGGCTCCATTGAGAAAGTTAGCTTACCTTACCTACTAAACTCCAGAGTATGTCCTACTCTTTCCTGTACCCTTTAGAGTTGGTGTCTGATATTAAGATCCTTGATCTATTTTGAGTTGATACAGATTTCAAAGAACTAAACTAATATTCTTATGACTATAAAGTCTATGACCTCAGAAGCAGAGTTTGTATCTGGAAATCAGCTCAAAATTACAGAATTTGATTCAAGTTGGTTATAAGGCCTGAGAGTCTGGATTTCTAACAAGCTCAATGTTCTTTGAGCAAGATTTCATACTGAGCTACATAGTACCCTCTGTTTCCCTTAGTTGTCTGATAAATGACTACATCCAACACAGATAAGGCTGTGTGAATGCCTGATTGTACAACTATTGTAGAACCCCTCATAAACAGCTTTCCAAGTCAATAATGCAAAAGTTTCACCTTGAACTTTTTCAAGCTGATTTTCATTGAAAGATGAATAATCACACTATCATTATCATCAAAATGCTATAGTTATAAAGTTATAATTTACTAAGAACATCTACGTGTCACAAAGGCTAGGCAGCTCACTGTCTTAGCTTAATTAATTTTACAATAACCAAGGAAATAGATATTCTCATCCACAAGCTTCATAATGTCATAAGTACTCTGTTAAAAATGTGCCTTTCCTCCATGGTACTCAGAAATAAGTAAATACAATATCCTCAGCAGATTTTAAAATGAAATCAAAATATTTACTGATAAAAGGTACACTAGAAGAGAATGTGTGACTCCTAAGCTGGCAAGAGCCTTGTAACCAGTTTGAATGCATCCATTGCTAAGAAAAATCCTACCAATTAAAAGGAGAATTAACTAGAAAAACAGTTGCCTCTAGCCAAACTTTTAACAGTGTTTCATGCTGTGGATAAAGCCCCATCTTCTTATTGGGCAAGTAAATGCAGTCACCTGATAAAATACCTGATGAGACCTAACTTTTGTCTGATTCCATGTTCTCCTAGAAACCTGATGCCTATATATGTACAAAAGAGATCATTACAATTATGAAGACTTTGGACTGTCGGCAATAGTAATTTCTTATAGATACTAATATTATAGAACAGTCATAATGAATTTCAACACATGAATTTTGAGCATTTCCTAAAAAATAAACTCATTCTAACCTACAAGTCCTCATGAGGCTGAAGAGCGCTAAAGCCACAAGTGAATTCATCCAGATGATAGATATTCCCCCAAAAACTCCAGTCTAATCCCACTAGGTACCAAAGGATCATAGTTTACTTAAAAAAACAAATCTTTTAAACGCTCATCTAGGATCTCTCTATTTCTTTGTAGTAGTTCAGGTAATTCTTTGATCAACTGATCAACAGTCTGGATGCCTCCCTGTTCAATGACAGATGTGGACTTGGTCAATATGGACTGAGGTACAGTATCTCCAGACACATCTTCAATTGCTGCTGGAAGATTGAGGGAAGCTAACACGCTGATTTTGTTTGTTTTTTTTTTTAAAAAAAAAAAAAAAGGAAAAGAGAAATATTGTGTTTATAAGTCTAAACCACATTTAAAATACTATAAAAATGTTAATCACCTAAACCCATTAAAATCAATAGCAAAGGAATTAACTCCCCCACCACCAAAAAAAATAAATAAACCCTATTAATTGAAAATAAAGCAAAAGAAAGGAAAACCAGAAAGTCAGTGATTGACAAAATTAAAACAAAATCATTAAAGAATTAAGATATTTAAGTTCACAGTTCAGAATTAAAAGCCAAAAGGTAAGAAAAACTGACATTAAAATATACTAGAAATCTTTGACTTATAAAGCTCAAATTTAACTTCCTTCAGTCCAAGTAATCAAAAAGTCTATCATTTAAAAAAGTGGTCTTTTATCATATTCAATTGTTATACTCTTCTAACAAATCAGAATGTACAAAAGTTATAATTTCATATCATCTAAGCATAATACCAATCAAACATAAGTGATTTAAGTATTAATTATAGAATCTTCAACTTTTCTTATTTTTATGGTTTAGTAACAACCCTTCAGTTATTTCATTTACATGATGGGGTAGGGGACTTATCCTTAGATATAATATAATGAACTGCTCGGAAAATAAGTTCTGTATAAATTCAGACTGCCTCTTAATCATATGCAAGAACAAACTCATGTTGCTTTCTTGCTAGATAAAGAAAAATACAGTAGACACAGTGGTACATGCCTGGAATCCCAGCACTCAGAAGACTGAGAAACACACACACACACACACACACACACACACACATATGCAAACACGTATTTGTAATCCATGCATTTGCTAAAATTAAAAACATGAAAAGCAAAGTCAAAACAGGAGAAAACATTCTCCATCACATATATCTAACGAAAGACTTATCTCCAAAATATGTAAAGAACTCTTTAAAGACAATTAATAAAAATTCAACTTTTAAAAAAAGGAGCCAAATGGCTGGGAGTATGGCCCAGTAATAGAGCATGTGCCTACATGCATGAGGCACTAGGTTTAATACCAAGCGCACACTCACCAAACAAAAGGGATGGAGGGGTATTTCAATCAACACTTCACAAAAGCACAATCCTATTATGCTTCCCACATAGCTGACAGGCAAGAAAACTGGCTTTTTTACTGACTGAGATGGGGTCTTGTGAACTTTTTATCCTGGCTGACTTTGCACCATAATCCTCCCAATCTCCACCTCCAGAGAAGCTAAGAGTACAGGTGTGAGCCACAGCACTGGCTACTAAATTATTATTTTCATATAATAAGTTCATGAAAAGTTATTCAGTGTCATTGATAATTAAGGAGTACAAATTAAATCACAAAGAGATACTGCTACACATGCACTAGCATGGTTAAAATTCAAAAGACTAAGACCTGGTAAGGATGTATAACAATTATATTTCTTACACAGTGCAAGTAGGAACTTACAAATGGAACACCCATTTTGGAAAAGAATCTGGCAAACTTGTGTAAAGTTTAGCATACACTAACTTAGCATACACATAACTCAAAAATTCTCTCTTGAATAAAATACTGACTCTTTGAAGAGTGCTAAAACATGTCCACACAAAGATTTATACATGAACGTTCATGGCAACTGAAATGTTATATCAACAGATGAACAAAGTCAAGAAACTGCTGCTTAACCATAAAATGAAACGCCACTATGCAAAGGATCAAACTGACATACACGACAAAAGACAAACCTTAAAAAACATTATGCTAAGTGAAAGAAGGCAAATACACTTGTGTGTTGTTATGTTTTGGAGGTGAAGTATCCCACAAAAAAAGCTCATGTGTTAAAGGCTTGGTCCCCAGCTGGTGAAGCTATTAAGACGTGCTCAGGACCTGAGGGTGCTAACTTCATCATACATCATATATCCTTGACATTTGGCTCCACGTTCAGAAAACTAAAATGCTCATAAACTACTTAGTTGCACAATGACTCAACAGAAAATTTTTTAACTTGAGAGACAAATTTATGTAAATTAAGCTCTACCTACCCATTTGCCAAGGTGGTAGCTTCTCTCATTTGAGCAATTGATCTGTTAACCAAATCAGCTTTCCTCTGATTAAACACAGCAAGAGACTGCTGCACTGACACAGGGACCATCTTCTCAAACAGATCTAAAATTGAAAAGAAAGTTTCAATAAAATTGTAAGACAAAAACTCAAACGGTACAACTGACTATTCATATTTTCTTTCTAAAATTCATGTAAAGTCAACAAATACGTAAAGATCAAAACTAACTTTTTTTTTTTTTTTTGGCCATGCTGGGGTTTGAACTCAGGGCCTTGTGCTTGCCAGAAATGTACTCTACCATTTAAGCCATGCCACAACCCTTTTTGCTTTATGTGTTTTTCAAACAGGGTCTTGGATTTATGCCCAGGTTAGCCTAGACCACAATCCTATTATGCTTTCCACATAGCTGACAGGCAAGAAAACTGGCTTTTTTACTGACTGAAATGGGGTCTTGTGAACTTTTTATCCTGGCTGACTTTGCACCATAATCCTCCCAATCTCCACCTCCAGAGAAGCTAAGAGTACAGGTGTGAACCACAGCACCAGCTACTAAATCATTATTGAAAGCACAACTAAAGAAAAAGTTTAGAGGACTAAATTCATGGGTAATAGCATAATGAAAACTTTTTTGAGCTTTATATTAACTTTTTAAGATGTGCTTCTCATTATGTAAGAAGGATCTTTGATGACACTGCTCATTTGTTTAAATTGACTGAGTGGGCCACAGTGCCAGATTCAATTTCTAGCTCTCCCACTATTAGATGTAACCTTGGGGAAATAATCAGTCTATGTATCAGTATCGTCAGTAAAATAGAATATTAACAATATCTATCTCATGGTGATGGTGTAACAAATGAGCTACGCATTTGTAAATTGCTTAAAAGAGTCACTGGCACAATTTGTTTGCTAAATAAACTAAGCAAAATAATCACTCTTCCGAAGTGCTTAGAATGTTATCCCCAGGATCTCAATTAGAGGATACCAAATATTGCATATATCTGTGATATCCAAGTATATAATAACATTTACTTATACAAATGACCCCGTACTTATATACTTATGCATGTTTATTTTTAATGCCAGTATCTTAAATATAACAAACATATTAAAAATGGTAAGTGCTTGTTCCAGCATTGTTCAGTTTCCAGTTTTCTGCCTCTGCTGTATACTTTATGTTTTATTATTTACATTCCATCTTAAAACTTCACTAAAGATATACCTTTAGTGAAATATACCAATTTTTAGTGTAATTTTAGTAATAAGCTTAATTTTTATTTACATTTGTCTTCAACATGAATGCAAATTATATCCAAAGTATTCACAAACAATTGTGTGATATTAGCTATAAAAAATACATACTAAAGTAGAGAATAGATGAATAGATTAAACTGCATCCGAAGAACAGACATATCAGAAAAAAGGCCTTTCCAGGGGTGGGAACCAGTGGAAGGGGCATGGGCATAAGGAAAGGATGAATGAGGGTGAATATAGTGGTTGTATTTTGTATTCATATAAGAATGAAACACTGAAATTGTTCTAAGAAGGGAGGAAGAAGGAGAAAGACTGGAGGGAGTAAGTCTAAGATATATTTTAAGTACACAGGTAAAAATTACAACATATCCCCTTTCAAAACTATTATATGCTAATAAAATTTTTTAAAAATAGACATACCAGTAAACTTCTGACTGATGGGTACATTGACTGGGGTAGATTTCACAAGTGTGGCTTTGCCAATAGGATCTAGATCCTTAAGGTCTGGAACTCGATCATGATAAATGAAGTCATTGTCCTTTTTTGCTGCAGTAAGGGCACGGTTGATTTTGTCAGAAAAATCCTTCACATTAACATATTCATCATAGCGAGATGCCACTGTCTTGATCAATTCTGCTGCATGCTAAAAAGAAAAATGTCAAAAAGAAAGAAAGAAAACAAAAATGTTTTCTTTCTCTTTACCACTAAGCATTGGTTTTGCAGGAAATCTTAAGGAATGTCATTTCCAACACAATGGCTGACAGGACAACCTGGAAACTGTTCCATCACAAACCACCCAAAAGTTGAAGGGTAAAATGGACAGCAGACTTCCCTTTAAACATACAAGTGAACTGGCAAAACAGAAATGAAATTCATGGGCCAATCAGTACAAATTGATATTAAGGAAGTCTGGCTGTAGAGTTATTTCTGTAAGCCAAAGAACGAGCAATTTTAAAGTAGTAAAAGCCTTCATGGAGACCTGAGTCAAGAGCCATGAAACCACACACGTAAGAGGACTGAATGGCACTTCCTTTACCCATTTCACCAAATGACAGCAGGGGCCTAAGAAGCTGCACTCAATGAAAGGGTGGGTCAGAAAAAAATGACTTAGATATACAGAAGGTCCACAGAGTAACATCTTATTTCAGTGTCAATAAGAACTTTTCTCTTTTTTTGGTGGTACTGGGAGGTTTGAACCTAGAGCACTTAAGCTCATACCCCCAAGTCTTTTTCTCGGTTTAGTAATTTTTATTTTATTTTTTGTGGTACTGGGGTTTGAATTCAGTCTCATGCTTGCTAAGAAGGTACTCTATCACTTAAGCCATTCTGCCAGCCTGCTTTAGTTATTTTTCCATAGGACCTCACTTTTGGCTCAGGGCCAACCTCGGACTGCAATCCCCTTCCTACCTATGCTTCCCCTGTGACTGAGATTACAGACAGGTGGGAGTCACAACGTCCAGCTCCAAGAAAAAAAAAATTTTTTTAAGTTTGGCCTTATAATAACAACGTAAGGCTGAAAATTATATAATTTAGGTGGTGGGGGAACAATAGTATCAAATAAAATAGATAGTGATGCCAAAAGAATTGTTAGGGATAAATTCAGTACATAATGTTTTAACAATTGCCAATTTGCAGGAAGATACAAGACTTCCTAAATTTTAAATTTAATAGCCTCTAATTGCATAAGCAATTATATTAAGGAACTGGTAACTCTAATTATATCCATGAAGTGGAAGACCAAATACACAAGAAGTTTTAGGACTCAGAAGATTTGAGCAACACATAAGGCATGGAGGACTTCAGATTCAACAATAGAATATATAATATTTTAATGCATATAGAGTACAGCTATCTAAAATGACCAGATTAAGAGATAAGGCAAACCTACCACCAAAATCACAAGACTACAAAATAAATACTGGAAAATCCATTCACATGATCCTCTAAAATAATAAATTTAGGTTAAAAATCAAGTATCTCCGTAAGATGTTGAAAAACCATTTGAGGGAGGAAGAGAGAGCAAGAAAGAGAGAAAGAACAAGAAAAAATAAAGAATATTCTACATGGTGGTTGGGAGAAACAGGCTGCTACAAATTAAAGACTTATGGAACATATCAAATAAATGCAATGTAAGGACTGTATATGGATTCTGAATTGAATAAATCAAGACCCCTAAGAAAAACAATCAAAGAAAACTAGATTTGGCTAATGCTGAATTATGAATACTAATTCATATTAATATTATTTTTCTAGATAGGATAATGCACTGTACTATATGGCTTTTTTTAATCTTTAGCTATTAGAGATACATACTAAAATATTTAAGGATGAGATAGATATATAATACTCCAAAAAATAAGACAGGAAGAAGAAATAGATGAAACATAAAATGTTTCATTAATTTTATTTCATAAAATGAAAATACTTATCACATGCCTTAATCCCAGCACTTGGAATGCTAAGATAGGAGGATCAAAGTTCAAGACTACTCTGAGCTAGATAGCAAGAGCCTGTCGCTGAAAAAAACAGAAGAAGAAAAAGTCTAAAGCACAAATAAAAAAATGGTTTGGAACTGGACCATGAGCAGATAATCAATGAAAGAGAACAAAAGCTTCAGAAAAAGACCCAAGGAGATATAGTGAATTTAATATGTAAAAAAACCAGAATTTCAAGTCAGTAAGTACCATTGTAAGAAATGGTTTGGAGACAACAGGGAAAAAGACAAAAATTGGACGCACACCTTATACATCAGAATAAACTCTGATTCAAGATCCAAATACGTAACAAATTACAAATGTATTTATACTTTGGTATCAGCAATCTGCCCCCCCCATCCCCTGCCTTTTTGGGGATGGGTACTGAGGTTTGAAGTCAGGTCTTGTGCTTAGGCAAGCTCCCTACCATTTGAGCCACAACCCCAGCCCTTTTTGGTTTTAGGTATTTTTTGAGTACCATGTTTATGCTGAGGCTGACCTGGTACTTGATCCTCCTATTTACAGGCCTCCATGATAGCTGGGATGACAGACACATGCCATCATGCCCAGCTTTTACTGGCTGAGACAGGAGTCTAGCTTTTTATGCCCAGGTTGGCTCAACCTGCCACCTTCCCAATCTTAGCCTCCCAAGTAGACAGGATTATAGGTATGAGCCATGGCACCTGGCTAGTAGTCCCACTTATACAAATTTATCATAAATTTGTTGCTATAGACTGAACCATGTTCCCTAAAATTCATTATGTTGAATCCCCAACCTCTAATGTGACAGTATTTGGAGATGGGGCCTTTGGGAGATAATTAAACATGGTCGTGAGGTTGGAGCCCTCGCATGGGATTAGTGCCCATGAGATAGCAAAGATCTTTCTCTCTTTCTTTACCACATTAAAAAATAGCAAGAAGGCCATTTTTGACTTCCAATCACCAGAACTGAGTAAATAAATTTCTATTGTTTAAGTCACCCATTCTATGGTATTTTGTTATTGGCAGCCCAAACTAGGATACCTGCTCAAGTACAAAATACCTAGGTACATGATTATTTGCTGCAGTACTGTTTGTAATGTGAATCTTGGAAATATGTGTATCCAGCAATAGGAAACAGAAATAACCTGTGGTTTATACAATGAAGTACAATACAGCTCTGAAGAAAAAATAGCAATGTGTTGCCTCTGCTCTATTAAAATAGAGATCTGAGATACACTTTTACATGTGAAAAGCAACATGTACATAACTCTAGTATACTGACTCAAGTAAGAATGAAGAGAGCTAAGAATGTATATTATGTTTGCATATGTATGTTTATATATTTGCTTCTATGTCAAAGAAAGACAGGGCAAAGATCAAACAAGAAACTAATAGAAATTACCCACTGCACAGTGGGAAAAAAGAACAGAGAACAGGACAGAGGAAAAACACAGACGACACCAGGGGTTGAAAAGAGAGAGAGAGAGAGAGAGAGAGAGAGAGAGAGAGAGAGAGAGAGAGAGAGAGAGAATTTATTCCCCAATTCTAAATAATTGGAAATGAAGAAATCTTATTTATTTACTTAGGCGGCACTGGGGTGTGAACTGAGGACCTCACATTTACTAGGCAGGTACTCTGCCACTTGAGCCACTCCACTAGCCCTCCCCAATTCTTATCTCAAAAAATTTCACGCTCATAAACTGAAAAAACATGACAATGAATAATCCAGGTTCAACATCTGTTAACATTTTGCTATATTTGCTTTCTCTCAATTTCCCATACATACAAGTATGGATGTACTTTTTTTTCTTTTCATACAGAACCATTTGAAACTAAAGTTCAGATATCATGACCCCCATCCTTATAAGGACAAGTTTCTTAATATCTACAAATTTTTTTTTTCTTTTGAGACAGGGCTACCTTATATAGCCCAGGCTACCATCAAACTGCAATCCTCCAATCCTCCTGCTTCAATCCTCCTGCTTCAGCCTCCTGAAGGCAGAGATTACAGTTGTGTACTACCACATCCAGCCCCACTACCTTAATTAATAAAATGAACAATACTTTCATGAAATCAGATTTATCACCTAGCAAGGACTATCACTACGAGTTAAATAAATCTCTGACATGTACTGCTCTTAATGAATCCAGTTTTTACATCTTTAATATAAAAACTGTACCTTGGCTGTTTTGGAAATTCTCCAGAGCCTTCAGGAACTAGACAAAGGACACTGTTAAAGAAGTGCAACTCATGGGCTATATTAAGCCCAGGTACAAATGCTCTTGGATTCAGAAGTGATTCCAAGAAGCAATTTTACCTTTGATCTCATCTTACCTTTGTTCTGATTTTCCTGTTTCTGGTTTGTACACAACCAGTAAGTTACTTCCCTTTGCCAAAAGCAATGATTAGAACACTGGTTTAATGAGCTGACTATCCAGTGATCTCTGTCAAGATCACAGAGTACTCTGAGTAAGAAGGTACAGAGAATATAACCATAATTCCTGGTCATCTTTTCTTGTCTGTTTGTTCTGTTTGCCTATCTGTAGGCCCAAATCAATTTTTAAAATATTTCATGCCTACTAGAAAGAGAAACTGTCCTTTGAGATATGGATCAGTAAATGTTTTTATTCTGTGTTAATTTTTGACGTAAGACTGAAGCTATAAATTCTGTCTCTATATCCAACAACTTGCTAGTCATTGTGTGACTAGCAAGTATTTAAAAATTAGATGAACATTTCAAAACGAGTTCTTCTCTGACTGGTTTGTAGGAATTAAACAAATCACTTAAATCTAACAATCAGCACTAGAATTCCTAAAAAATATAGAATATAAACTTCAAAAGTATTAAATGTGCTAGCCTTAAAAAAATCTTCCCCACAGAAATTCCTTGCTCAGAAGCATTTTTATATGAGAATGTAATTTTTGCTGGGTGCCAGATTACACACCTGTAATCCTAGCAGCAATCAGGAGGACTGTGGTTCAAAGACATCCTGGGCAAACAGTTGGAGAGACCCTATCTCATAAATACCCAACACAAAACAGGGCTGGTGGAGCGGCTCAAGAGGTAGAGCACCTGCCTAGAAACTATGAGGCCCTAAGTTAAAACCTCAGTCCCATGAAAAAAAAAAAAATATGTAATTTTTATATGCACAGTGAATTACTGGAAAAATCAAAAATCATTATATATGTGAAAATCTGGATTTTATAAATAAAAAAAAAAGTCTCCGATTTTTATCACTATGGGCATTATTGGGTTTGTTTTCTTGTGAAAAAAAGACTAATCTCAACTTCCTACATAACAGTTCCATGTTATCTTCCAGTATCCAATCCTTTTTATAATTTTTATAATTTTCCAGTCCTCTTCCTATCCTTGCCTTATCAATTCTCAAAACGAGTAATTCATATAAATAGATCTGGCCCCTGTTGAATGTCGCACCAGATATCAGTCAGTTTCTGACAACCCCAATGCCAGTGCTGGACACAAGTTGGGGATGGGAGGTGTTGTTTCTTTGTGTGTGTGTGTGTGTGTGTGAGAGAGAGAGAGAGAGAGAGAGAGAGAGAGAGACTACTGTCCTCAAGCCATGGGAATTATTATAAACTCCAGTTTAAACTAAGGCAATAAGAGAACTGAATGCAAATTTTGCATGAAATCTTTAGATAAAATATAAGACTTCAAAAACCATGCGGCAGGTAAAGCATAAAAGATGAAAACAATTATCTTTGTTGAGATGGGCAAAGAATAGTAAAATTTTTTATGAGTAATCCTGAGAATCTCACTAGGAAAAAAATGGAGAACCAAGTTACCCAACTATTTATCGCCAAGAGACTCACCTGCAACCTTGCAATCTCTTCCCCAAATTTCTTCTGCTGCTTTGCCAGGATAGACTGGTGATACTCCGCGTTGGCCTGCATGATACAGTGCTTTGCAGCCAAGACAGGGAACACCTCCTGGAAATAAAAATACTGACCAGGGGAGAGTCCAACCAAACAAACCATAACAGACAACAGGGATGCAGGAAGAAAAAGGAAATGGAAATTAGAATCACCCCATGAATGGTTTAGAGACAGGTTAGTCACTAGGTGTAAACAGAAAAGGCTACATTATGTTGCAAGGACTGAATTTCACGAATTCATATTTTTTCTTCCAATTAAAACTAAGGGTTTTCTTTTAACTGTTAACTGAAGCCAATTTAGCTTTTTACAATTATTTTAAGTTGAGCCATGAAGTCAGCATTTTGTTTGCAAGGAAGAAAGAAAAGCATGCATTAGAAAGAGTAGAATGGTCATTCAGAGGAATACCAAGCACAGGGCTCTAGAAGCTTCTTATGAGCCCTTACCCAGCCCTCAGAGTTACCTAAACCACCATTACTCACATATACTAATGAAATTGCTCTATAGCTGAATGTATCATCATGTTAAAAAGACAAAAGACAACAAAGTAAGTTCTCAAATTCATATGCTGAGATTCTTAATAAAGATTATTTTTAGTCACATAAGAATGATTTAGTATTGTGTAAACACTAACATTGCAGTACCATATACATAAACACAGCACAGACACACAAAAGCACTAAGTTAATGAATAATGATACAGTGTTTTAATTCCAGTCAAAATTACTTTTTTTTTCCTCTGACAGTACTGGGATTTGAAATTAAGGTCTTGCGCTTGCTAGGTAGGAGCTCTACCACTTGAGCTGCGCCCCCAGTCCATCAAAATTACTTTTAACACATCCAATTTCATGAACCAGAAAAGCCACTGTCTTGGTGGAGACTCTTCCAAAATGTCAAATCCTGGCCTTTCACCTCATTGTTTTCAGGAAGCACATGATATTTAAGAAAAAAAAAAAAATCCAAGAAATATACTAGACAATCACTGTCTAGACAAAAAATACAAGAGAATCAAAAACTGAATTACTACCTTGAGTGTTTTCCTGTCTCCCAGTGAATAATTTCCTAGCTTCCTGGATCACTACGTGCAGATATTCCAGTTTTATAACTAGAATATGAAAATACCTTATGAGCTTTATTAGTAAAAAAGGAAGAAATAAAAGACATCTAAATCTCAAACTGCATTCATGCCAGTACTCAAGGTAAGGCTGGAGCAACTTGGTACATCAACAGGTGTTCAAGAATACCAGGAATGCTGCAGAGGTAGTTTCCAGGCCTCTGAGGTGACATTCTTCTCTCCGTGACAGGACTGAACTAATGGCCCAACCAGATGTAACGGTACACTGTGCGGCTGAACATGAGTCTTTCACATGAAAAAAAAGGTGAGGAGATCCCAAGTCTCTTTGTAAGAGGAATGCTACTGTCGTTCTCATTCTCTCTCTAGAGATGACCCACTTTCAGTCTATTGAAAGTACTTCTTTCCTAATAAACTTTAATATTACTTTCACTACAAAAAAAAAGAAGAAGAGTAATGCTATTGGTACTCAAGAGTCCTGGGCAAATTTCTATTAGATTCTTGGTAAGCTTTGATGGGGATTTTTTGTTGTTTTATTGGGTGCTAGAGATGGAACCCAGGGTGTGGCAACTGCTACACTAGTGTTCCACCACTGAGTTACATCCCAGCCCTCTTGGTATAAATTAAGTCCCCAGGAATCTTCACAGTAATTCCTCACTGTTCACTTTCTGATTAATGTATACCATTGATGCACTTATGTGCATTTTTACTTTACCCCTGAGCTCTTTGCAATTTCAGAACTTATAATGATTCCTAAATACAACCGATAAGCTCATAAATTCTCCTTTAAAAAAGTCATGTGACAAATATCATATGGTATCACACAGATGAAACTAATTCCTTGAATATTTCTGAGAAAGTAACTGAAATGTATTTCACTCCATCATTACAGTTTCATTTGTTAAACTAGTCATCTGCCTTGTCATTTACAATCATCTCTGAAGTCTTTTCAACTGCCATTCAGAAAAGCTCACATTGAAACAATAGTTCCTGTGACCTGAAGTTTAAGATGGTTGCTTTTCCTTAGCTGTCCATTAGCAGCCCAACTGTCTATCCCTGTTGGCAAATTTAATTCTAATCAAGGTATCGGATGCATTTAAGTTTTCTTTTCCTTTTTTTTTCTTTATGTCTGTTTTTGCGCTTTGAGACTCATCTTTAAGAAAACAGGACAATAATTAAAAATGTAAATAATCAACATGCTCAAGTATTCATGCTTATACTAAATCACCAACAATTCAGAATGACACAATGCCTCGATTTGATAAAATTACTGAAGACAAATGGTCAAAATTTTCCAGAGTTTTACCTTAGGAAAACAAGTTTAGCAAAGAATAAAGACAGACGTATCCCCTAAATATAAAAGAACTGTACATGCATCTTAAATTTTTAAAAATTTCTACAAATATATTATTTAAATGCTTCTATTAAATTTCAGTTCCCTTATAATACATAATTTTCAACTTGCTTCTTGTATGTAAAAATATTTCCTCATGCAAAATAACCAACTTTATAAAACAGTAACTGACCTTTGGGAGAGTATCTTTGTACTGACACTGCTTGAAAGCATCACCAAAATAATCTGCAGCTTGATTAGCCAATTTAGCTATGATGGCATCTTTCATTTTATCTAGAATAAAATATTTTAAATGACCATTATAATTAAAATAATATGATATATGACTCAGTATAGACACTGCAATCAAGTTTGTATGGTTGTCTAAAAAAAAATCCCTATTGATGAAATTAAGTATTCTGCATAAAACGTAATTATTCCATAGGCCAATCCAAAGACACAGAAAACAGACTCATGGTTTTCAGCAGGGCAGAAGAAGTAAAGAGTGATCACTAATGCCTGGTTAGAGTTTCTTCATGGGGTGACGATAATATTCTAAAATAAGATGGTGGTGACAGTTGCAAAACTCTGTGTATACACTAACAAACACTGACTTATACAGCTTAAAAAGGTGACTTTTGGTATAAGTGAATTCTACCTCAACAAAAGCTGGAATTTGTTTGTTTTGGTTTGTTTTTTTGTTTTTGTTTGCGATACTGGGGTTTGAACTCAGGGTCTCAGGTTTGCTAGGCAGGGGCTCCACCACTTGAGCCACTCCACCAGCCCATTATGCTTTATTTTTCAGGTAGAGTCTCCCATTTTTGCCTAACTGGGCTGGACTGCAATCCTCCTATTTATGCTTCCCACACAGCTAGGATGACAGACACACATTACCACGCCTGGCTTTTTGTTGAGATGAGGGTCTTATAACTTTTTTGGCCACAGCTGGCTTCAAACCCCCATCCTTCCCATCTCTATCTCCCAAGTAGCTGGGATTACAGATATGAGCCACCATGGCTGGCATGCTATTTTTTTTTTTTTTGGCATGCTATTTTAAACAAATAGATTAAAAAAAAAAAACTGTTCCAGTTCATATCTCTTCCACACAATTGCAGCTCTCTTTAGTCTCAATTTCTGTGCACTTAAGTAGCCAGCTTATATTCCACTCTCTTATACTAACTTACATGCCTTACAAGAAGTGCTCTTGCTCCCTCATTTGCCAGGGACTTTGCTGGCTGGCTTCTTTTTGTCATTTAAGTCTATTTTAAACATGATCTCCTTTAAAAAAAAAAAAAAAAAAAAAACCTTACTGACTAATGAGTCTAAAAAGTTCCACGATCACAGTACACTCCTGTTCCACAGCCACTCCCACATAATCCATTCCTACTTTCCTCATAGCAATTACCTCTCTCTGAAATGACCTTGGCTACTTAGTATCTTCCTTATCATCTATTCCACACTAAAACATAAGCTTCCTAAAACCAGAAGCCTTGTTTGTCTGCTGTTTTATCTAGATACTATAACAACACCTGGCACACAAAAGGTATTCAATAAATATGTGCTAGATAAATCAGCATGTGCAATATTACAAGTAGATATGAATACTACTACAGCATTCAGTGTTTGAAGACAATGGTTATCCACTCCACAAGCCTTCAAACATCACTTACACTCTTGCAGTACAAGTTCAAAAACACTTATTTTCAAAACTTCATGTATCAACTTCAAAAAGGAAATCTATATAGAAAAATTATATTCTAATCATATTTTAATCACTTTCTTAGTTAAAAGCCTGTTCTTTTTTTCACAGACAACAAAGTGGAAGAATAATTAGTTACCTCTTGTGGCTTTTAAAAAAAATACTTCTTGGGCCTGTGCCAACATAATAAGACTGAGGGTCCCAACAGTATCTGGTGATAAGTCCACGGTGGGCTCTCGATTTAAGGCAGATAAAACTGTTTCTTTAATATGTAAAAAGGCACCACTAGCAAACTAGAGAAGGAGGAAAAAAAATATTCTGTAAAATCTACAGGAACGCTGCAAGATAATTTCCTACTGTTACATTCAAAAATAATTTTAAATGTTACCTCAGTGAATAGTTACTATGCTTAAATTTTTATATTCTGCAATACCAATCTAAATCATTTTAATTACATAAAAGTATTTTCCCAAGACTCTAAAGTAAAAGGAAACTTAACAAAGATTAAAAACAAATTACAGGGGAAAATAAAGTAAATTAATGGCAATAACTGATTAAGCCTATTTTTAGATATACCTCTTCAAAACTTACCTAAGAATAGAGGAAGGGATAAAATATCGTTACAATGTTTTTAGTACTGAAATGCTCTTGTCTTGGTCCCAAACAAATTCATCTTTCAAAAAAGCATGCTGTGCTTGGGGGAAACCCCATATAGTACATTCACCTAGTCCTCTGGGGACAGCATTACTATCCATTGTTAATCATTTCTGTTTGGCCTTCGGAGCTCCCTAGTAAAATGTTCCCCATGAAATTTTTCATCCCAATTATACTGTGTTGCAATTACTATTAAAATGACTTTGCTTTATGAAAAATTACACTAAGAAAAAGGAAGAAGTTGGTCTAGAATTAAAAGGTAGATTAGATAGGTAAGGTACACAGAGGTAACTTAACTACATTAAAAGGAACAGCACATTTTATACAGTCAAAAAAAATTGCAAAACTAGGATATCTGCAAGGATTAATCAGCTGGCTTGTTTGAAAGCTAACAGAATGATAGACTAGAAGATTGAGGAATCGAGGTCCTCATGCACAGATGAGGAACTGGGAATTTCTCTGGTTAAAGAACTTGCCCATGGGCACATAATGGCCTCTGGATGGCAAGCAGCCCAGACCAGGAGCCATGTCTAAGACAACAGCTCTCTTTACATCATAACATATAACCTGCTGTGAACACAAAGAGCAGAGGGTTTCCTCAACAATGCCAAATGAGCTCTAAGATCTCACATGCCAATTAAATAAGTTACAGTAACAAAAAACTAAATAAAATTTTACTTCATTTGAATATTTTTAAATATTTGCCATTTATAGCCTCAAAATGGAAGAGTACATGCATTACATGTGACATCTATGCCCACTCAAAATAGATGGGCAAGCCACAAGTTGATGCATGTGCTTTACTTACAGTGTGTTTTCCTTTCACTTTCCCAAACCAGCATTCCTCACTTTTCTCCCCTGAACTTAAACAAAAGGAAAAGAGCTCCTCCAACACAAGCAAATTCCATGGAGAGACAGTGGAAAGACCAGCTGGAAGACCATGAAATTTAGAACATCCGAAACCCAAATGAACTGCTTTATTAACACTTCTGACTTTAGTCTCCTCATATGTAAAATGGGAATGACATTACATGACATGCATCACAGGTTTACGTGAGAATCTGATGATATATATGAAAATACTTTTTAAATTATAATGTCACAAAATATGAAAACTTAACATATGGTATCACTTAATAATGTTATTCTTCTTTCACCTGAAACAAAAAAAAAAACCTGAGTAAATAATAAACAGCATCCCACATTAGTCAATTTTAGTACCTAAAATACAGATTTAACCATCTTAAAAACATTACATCTGACATTTAAATATAACCTCTCCACAAGTCTCAGAATTAAACTTTTATTTTTTTGCCAGAAGTTCTTAATTTTTGTGACACCAGTAAAATTTTAGTTGTGTCCACTCCAAGAAAACATACAAAACTAATATTTACATGTTATAAGTGAGGTCATTTTTTTACAAGAGATTTACCATAAATATATGAGATTTCGTCTCATGAGTAATCATTTTTGTTCAATCAACATTTACTGAGCCTCAGTTATGTGCCAGGCACTGTGCTAGGTGCTGGGTATACAATGCTGAGGAAAAACAGACCTGATCTATAAGTAGTTTATCTCAAGCTTCAACAGTAAGGATCAATTCATTAAAAAGAACATTACTTTCCAATAAAACATCTATTGTGTTAAAAACAATTATAAATCTAAATGCAAATTATTTTCAATTTAATCCAACTTTTGTTGATCTGCATACCTGGTAATGCTTAGCAGCGATTTTCAATCCTTCATCATTATCCAGGTTCTGTTCTGCTGCAATCTGGCTAGCTAAGGCTGCACAATTGAACAAGACACAGCTCTTTTCATATCCTAAGCTTGCAAGAGCTGCAAAAAATTGAGAAGGAAACATTTATCAGATTATTTTTTCTAAAGAAAACAAATGTTTCAAAGAGAAATACTATGATCCTTATTCCACTGGCTCTCACAAGTGCTTCCAAGACCTGCTTTCTCGCTATTTCAGGCTGTCCTACAAGGCATTCATTTCCACAATATTCCCATCATCAGAAACTCAAAAGATCAACAAATTATTCTTTCTCTCCTTCCTTTTACTTCCACGTTTTTATTCTACTCAGGTTCAAAATGTGAAAGTCATTCTCATGTCATTTCTCATTTAATCTCTTAAATTCAAATAAATTCTTTCCATTTTTCCATTACCTCTCAAACATTTACCTTCCCCCCATTTTTAAGCCAATTTTCCATTACTACAATCCTGAGTCAATACAAGATCCTCCTAACTGGCCTTCCATACCTTACACCTTCATGCCCACACGTTTCTCAGAGTCTAGCAGAGTAGTGTGGAAGAAATGCAACTGTGATCAAGAGACTATACACCTCACTTCCATTAGCATGGCTGCTACTTTTTAAAAAACAGAAAAGTGTTGATAAGGATGTAGAGAAACTGGAATCTCTGCACACTTGGTAGGAATGCAAAATGCTACAGCTACTGCGGAAAACAGTATGTGAGTCCTCAAAACTTCAAAAACAGAATTACTATATAATCTAGATTCCACTTCTGGGAACTGAAACAGACTCTCAAAGAGGTATTTGTACACTCATGTTCAGAGCAGCATTATTCACAATAGCCAAAAAGCAAAAGCAACCCAAGTGTCCATCAACTGATGGCTGGATAAACAAAATGTGGTACATCTACACAATGAAATATTATTCAACCCTAAAAAGAAAGGAAATCACGTATTACAACATAGATGAACCTTGAGGACATATGCTAAGTGAAATAAGCCAGTCACAAAAAGATAAATACTATATGACTCCACTTACATGAGGTAATTAGAGTAGTTGAATCCATGGAAAGAGAAAGTAGATGGCAGGAGCGGGGGATTGTTTAATGAATACAGCATTTTAGATTTGCAAGAAAAAAAACAGTTCTGGAGGTCCGTTTTACAATAATACCTAACACTACTAAACTATACACTTTAAAATAGTTAAGATGGTAGATTTTGTTATGTGTGTTTTCCAACATTTTTTAAGACAAACACTGTATGAGTCTACTTATATGAATTATCTAGACAGGAGGAAGAATAGTGGGTGTCAGCGGCTGGCAGCAAGGGAAGAATGGGAAATTATAGTTCAATGGGTATAGATTTTCAGTTTTGTAAAATGAAGGAGTTCTAGAAACAGATAGTGATGAAGGCTCAATACAGCAAATACCACTCAACTGTACATTTCAAATGGGTATGTGTATTTTATCATGTTAAAACAAAAGAACTGACAATAGCTCCCAAATACTTACAAAATTCAATTACGGCATAATTCAACATCTTGCATAGTATACCAGACACTGACCACCAAGCAAAATAATCAGAAGGTTCCTTGTAAAAAACACAGTATAAGCTATCTACGAGAACTAGAACAACACTCAGTTATGTGTCTATGCCTCAGAGTAGTGCCATAAAGCCCTTCTTGCTACAGCACTTGGTAGCCTCTTTTAATACCAGTTTTCAGAAGTGACTTGCTTCGAAATCACTTCTACCCTCCTCACTCTAAAGTTTAGCAGAATACATACCAGCTACTCTCACCTACTGTCCTAAGTTCATGAAAAACTAGAATAACATGAGAATATTGTGAAGAAAATCTGCACAAAAATAAGATATTAAGGTAACTGAAAAGCTGAGCCCAGAGTGAACAAAAACAATTCCAGCAATTCAAAAATCATAATTAGTACCTTAAGGAGACCCAAAGATGGTACATCCATCAAATTAGAACAGGATATTATTTTTTTAAGTTAATGAATAAGAAAAGGTGCCTAGAAATTAAAAACTTAATTACTAACATTTTCTCAAAAGAAGTGTTAAAAAATATATAAGTAGCTTCCCAAAAGTAGAATATAAACTCAAAGAACTTTAAAATGTAAGAATTGTGAATAACTCAGAACAACCACCATCTGATTAATAACAAATTCCAAAGAGAAAAGGGGGGTGGAAAAAGAGAGAGAGAGAGACAAGAAACTTATCAAAGAAATTTAAGAAAAATTCCCAGGTCTGAAAAGAGATAAAAGTGTTCAAACTAAATGGGTCAGCAATAAATCACACACACACACACACACACACACACACACACACACGCAAACTAAAGATAAGCCAGGCATCATGGCACATATCTATACCCCCAGCTATGTGGGAGGCAGAGGTAGGAGAATTACACGTCGAGGTCAACCCAGACAAAAGCACAAAAGCTACCAAAAGCAAACTAAAGCAAAAAAGGCTGAAGCATGGCTCAAGTGGTAGAGCCTAGCAAGTATAAGCCCCTGGATATCCTGGTTATCAGTCCTTTGTCTGATGCATAGCTGACAAATATTTTCTCCCACTCTGTGGGTAGTCTGTTCAATTTAGAGACCATTTCTTTTGTTCTGCAGAAGCTTTTTAGTTTTATTAAGTCCCATTTGTCTATACTTTCTCTTAGTTGCTAAGCTGCTGGGGCTCTATTGAGGAAGTCCTTGCCTATACCTATTACTCCCAGAGTATTTCCTACTCTTTCCTGTACAAACTTTAGAGTTTTGGGTCTGATATTAAGGTCCTCGATCCATTTTGAGTTGATACTAGTACAGGGTGATAAACATGGATCTACTTTCAGTTTTTTGCAGATGGTTAACCACTTTCCCCAACATTTGTTGAAGAGGCTGTCTTTTCTCCATCTTATATTTTTAGCACCTTTGTCAAAAATGAGGTGGGCATAGTTGTGTGGATTCATATCTGGGTCCTCTATTCTGTTCCACTGGTCTTCATGTCTGTTTTTGTGCCAGTACCATGCTGTTTTTATTGCTATTGCTTTGTAATATAGTTTGAAGTCGGGTATAATGGACTTCTTATACCTATACAAAATAGAACAATGAAACCTCCTGCAATTCCTTAAAGTGGGGCGGGTAGGAGGATGAGGGGGAGATGGTGGAGGTGATCTAACCAGTGTACAAATAAGCCTATTTGAAATTGTCACAATGAATCCCCTTCTGTACAATGAATATATACTAATAAAAAAATTAAAACTAAAAAAAAGAATGAACTATTGGCCTAGAGAGCTCACTCAGTGGAAGCACACTTTCCTATGATGTATAAGGCCCTGGGTTCCATCCTCAGCACCACAGAGAGAAACAATTACAATTTTTAAAATGAGTGAAATATACTCCAAGCAGCAGATAACACTGTATGTGTATAGATATAAATACATATATTTATTATTTCTCATAAATACTATCCCAGGCTATAGTTTGTCATTTTATTTTTGTTCTTATAATTAAACTTTATCTTTTTTTATTTCTTATATCATACCTAAATTTAAAGTATGTTTTCTTAAACAAATATTCTGTTCTCTTCTCTTCAAAAATCACTTTTTTCCTTAATATTTAATTCTATTCTTGGTTGTCACATGATCTCTTTTTTTCACTACGTTTTTCAAAATAAGTAACTTGGTTAGAAATGAAAAGGTTTTTTTTAATTCAACAGTTGTAAAACACAAAACTGTAAAAGAAAATAAATTTATAATCATCTAATATCCCACCCCTAAAAATAACATTAATTTTTTGATGTTTTCACAAATAACTACATATATGTTCATACACAATTTTTCACAAGTTATGGATACCACACCATATTCAGGTTGCCTGTGGTATATAAATCCAGGAAGAAGGAATCACACTAGATTTTATATGAACAGTCTGCCAAGAGCCCAATTTAAGGGGACCCTAAAAGTTGTACAACACAGCTACTGATCTTTTTTGGGGGGAAGTACTGGGATTTGAACTCAGGGCCTTTACTTGCTAGGCAGGTACTCTACCACTTCAGCCACACCTCCAGCCCTACTTTGATCTTTAATTCAATATTCCATGGATATAGCTTTACATGAGAAAAAATACATAGTTGCATTATCACTTGATCTTATAAAACTGTACAGTATTCTAACAAATATATATCTCCTGCCACCTACTCCTTATTCTCAGCCTACCAATTTGTTTAAGTCACAGCAGCACTAAAAGTCCTTTTGTTGGAGGACCTCAGTTTAAGTCCCAATATGGCCAAAAAAAAATCCTTTTCATCATCATGTCTCCCTCTAGACATAATGCTGATCCCTTTCTCCCTAAATTTTTACTGCAAATTTTCCAAAACAAGCAACCCACATCTGCTATTTACATTTCCTCACTTCCTATCTATCCCTCAATTTCATGCAATGTCTTCTTCAGCATGCTCTAGAAAAACTCTCTCTTCCATGTCCAGTGACTTCTCCAATCTCGCTTACCTCTTACAATTTCTTTCTATCACATCTGGAACTCTGTGTCCATCTTTTTAGAGATACATTGGTATCTTTAACTTTTTTTCCCCAAGTTTCCATGCATCCAGGCATGGAAACCCCTGGATTACATCACCTTTAAAATTTTTCCGGTATTCACTTTCATGTCTCTATTTTTTCCTGGATCCTCCAAGAGCTAAAAGCTTTTTCTCAATTTCATTCTTAGAAATCTTCCTCTATTTCCCCTAGCTCTGGCTTTCACACTTTTCTATTATCTGCCAGAGGGGATAAATTTACTATCCCTAATGACAGTAATTTCCAAATCCATTACTTCCAAATGCCAGAGAAATTTTTAACCAAAATTATCACAGGAAAGTCAAACCCAACCTGTCTATCAACAAAATATTCAATGGGTCAAACCAAGTTACAAATCTCAGTCAACCCTGAACTCCTCCTCTTCCCTCCAATGGCAGCAAAATCAATTTCACCTCTGAAATGCCTCCCAAGCCCATCCCGTCTTCTCTAATTGTACACACTACCTTGTCTAGCCTCACTATCTCTCATCTGTCTCCCAACTAGTCTGTTTCTCTATAGTCCCTGGAGTTCTAGATTCACATATCAACCTCATTAAACCATAGCCATATGACCTTCGACAGTCAATCTTCCTAAGCCAGTTTGCTCATATGGCAACAAGAGTGTCTTTACTCATTGGGCTATTGGGGAATTCAGTAAGATAATATATGTAAAACCTCTTCCATATCATCTGGGTAGTCAGTACTCAATAAACATTAGTTATTAATACATAAGAGGGGAAAGTACAAATTCACGAGTTTATTATCTGTAACTGTTCACAGTCTGTTTTCCAGTATTATCACCCTCCAAAATCCCCAATTCAACCAACTGCTTTAAGCCCTACCAGTAACTATTTTTACACCAATATGTAAAAATTACATTACATATTTGATCTCTGAATTACATAATAGTTCCATTTTCTCGCATATATAGAAAAGTTTGTACCTTATTATTTGATGTAGTTAGTATACCTTATGGTTAGATACTTAAGTACATATGAATCATACAGATTATATATATATATATCATGCAACGTATTTAGTATATACTATATAAGTGTACATATAAGGTATACGTAAGTATATAATGTGTACATAAGCATATATAATTAAATGTCATACATTATCATTTTATATCACTCTTTAAATCCACACAATAAGTCCATGGGATAAGTATCATTATCCTCACTTCACAGATAAAGAAAAGAAGGCACAGAGACCATATCTTGATTGAGTGGGTAGAATAAAAAGTCTTTCCATTCTGATCTTTGGTTATGATATTGTACCTGTAATATCACTTTCTATCTGGAAAAATAAACTCTTCCTTTAAGACCTAACTCAAATTTTGCTTCCTTATAACAGGTAGCATTAATTTCTTCCTCATCTAGGCTTCCATAACTTTGTAGATAGGTAGCCGTACAGTAATGCCTAACTTAACAAGTGAGATACACTCTCATAAGTGAGCTGTTAGGTGATTTCATTGTTGTGCAAACATCACAGCATACTTACACAAATTAAGGTGGCTATAACATCACTAGGCTACACAATCTTAAGGACAACTAAAACAAATGTGGTCCATCATTGACCAAAAGTTTATTTTGTAGTGCATATTATACATTATGTAGTACACACTGCATTGTAGAATGATTAACTATTTTCCCAACCAGACTTAATGTAAGTGTCTTACTCATTTTTATAACTAGGACAGTGCCTGGCAAGGCATAGGCTCCTACGAACATTTTTAAATTGCATTAGAAACTGAAGTTAAGGGCTGGTGGAATGGTTCAAGCAGTAGAGCGCCTGCCTAGCAAGCATGAGGTCCTGAGTTCAAAAAAAAAAAGAAGTTGAAGTTAAAATAAAAGAGATATGTAAAAAAATTTAATATTTACAAAGATTTATTAGGAAAGTAATTTTAATTTTAAAAAACTTAAAACAATACAAAATGTTTAAGTCAAATTTCCTGTCATTTCTATTAAAAATTACATACCTAATTTTACAGAACCTCCAAAAAGTGAACCTTTATCAAAAGCATCCTTCCAGGTAAATGTCAAGCAGATCTGGATAGAATGGAAGAAAACAGAAAATTATTTTATCATCTTGAATCTCATTAAATATTAAGTCTCTTTTGAGGAAAATTCCTCAAAGAGGAAAGGACAAAAGCTCAACACATATAAAATACCTCCTCTAAGCAACCAACTCCTTTCACTTCTTATGGATCACAATTTTAAAAAAAAGCAAAATACTGGTACTAGGATATTCCAAAATGTCATTCTGTGTCAGTAATCATAACCACTGTATTATTCATCTTTACAAACACACAATGGCTTCACAGAACAAACACTTGTCAAATAGGCAAAGGGAATAGAGTAAGCACTACCAAGTTTTCTAGGAGATAAAACTGAAAACTACTACTACAAAAGTAGGACAATGGTTTCTTTAGGGGAATGGAAAGATGTATTTTATTTCTTGATCTGAGTGATAGTTAAACAAACATATTCACTTTGTGAAGATTAAAGCTATACACACGATTTATTCATCTTTCTATTTGTATGTCATACATGAATAAAAATTTTACTTAATGAAAAACTATATTCTCCCTGCTTCTAAAGTAAGTATACCACATATGTAGGTTAAGTAGAATTTAGCTTCATTTAAATTATTTATTACAATCCAATTTTTAACTCTAGGTTAGGAAAGCTTTCAAATATACACAAAACAAGTAGCAATAACATAATGAACTCCTCTAAACCCATCAGTTTTAGCCTTTTGCTCTTCTTTGTTCATCTACTCCCCAACTTATTCTCATACCACCACCACCATCCACAAACATTTTTTTTCTAGAATATTTTAACACAAATCTCAACAGTTATTTCACCAGTAAAATTTTAATGTAAGAATGTTTAAAGTTCAGGGCTGGAACCATACCTCAAGTATAGAGCTCTTGCCTAGCAAGTGCAAGGCTGTGAGTCCAAAACTCCGAAAAAAATCACCAAATCACAAAAAAAAACAGGTGATTAAAGTACTTTTCCTATACTACTTTTAAAATCTAGAAGTACCACACACTTAGAAAACTTCTATCAAGTCTCCCAAACTAAACCATAAGAAATTATCTCATTTTCAACTAGTTTTCAAGAGAAAATTATCATTCTTTTAACATAACATCAATCATAATATACTTGCAACTTTTTATGCAAATGTAATCTATACTAGTAATTTTTTTTTTAGTGGTACTGGGGTTTGAACTTGAGGCATCACACTTGCTAGACAAATGCTCTACCACTTAAGTCACTCCATCATCCCTTTTTTTCTGTTGGATATTTTCCAGATAGGGTCTCTCAAATATTTGTCCAGGCTAACCTCGAACCTCAATCCTCCTGATCTCTGCCTCCTGAGTAGCTAGGATTACAGGTGTGTACCAATACTTTTTAAAGCACTAAACTGAGAGTATTACTTCCTGAACCATGCAATTTCCTTCTTAATTCTGTAAAAGTCAAAGGAAAGACACAGATTAATCAATCAATATAATAGATCCTTTTGATATAAAATGCATTTCAATGCTCTACATGGCCCCAAAAGTGACTGAGGAATTACATGAATAATTCCAGGATTCCTTTCCAAAAGGACATAGATTCACATCAGACAAACCTAAAAACTTCTAACTTATCTAAAACTATCCCATAGGCATAAAGATAGTAAAGTAGCATCAACTAATTTTAATAAAATGATAACATGGATAAAAGGAAATGGGCCATTTGCCATTACCATACAACTTTAAAACAAAATTAGTGACTTACCTGATTTTCAGAAAATGGGAATTTGGGTTCAATGGAACAAATCTGATCATAATATCTAAAAAATAGAGCAAAAATAATAATTAGCTAAATATCACATGCATTTATGTAAAATAAGAGTATACCAAAACTATTTATCTTACTTGGAGTGGCCCCACAAATCCAATTTAATCAGCTGTTGTAAGACTAATGAACATAGTCTTTTAATGTGTAAACCTGGAGCTAAAATGTATGCAATTAAAAAAAACTGAGCAAAATATTTACCCACCGTCATAGAAAAATATTACTATTACTAACATCTGCTCAAGAGACCATCTATTTCTTAAAATACTTTCCAAGATAACTATGTTTATATTCACTGGACGAATTAGTTACATTAGTAAATTGATGATAAAATAGGTATACCAACTTTCAAATATATTTTTGGTATGTTCAGTACTTTTGGTATGGTCATTACTGCCATACAGGCTCATCAAAGCTCACACAGATAATTTCTTTCTGGGAAACTAATCCAAGGTTTCCTAGTCAATCTCTCTGTCTTTCTCATTCCTTCCAATATATGTGTAACCAAAATGATATAAACATAAAGCAATTGTTCTCCCCCACGCCCCAATCTAGGTGAGCTTTCAGTCAGCAACTCTAGGGGAAAAGAAAGGGAAGGGAAGGGGATGAGTGGGGTAGGGGAAGGGTGGGGAAGAAGGGAGGGAGAGTGGAAGGGGAAGGGGAGGGACAGGGCCAAGCATTCTAACTGGCCTCTAAGATTTCTTCTTTCACTTCTACCCGTACTTGTACTATCTTTCCAATGGTTATTTTCTGGGACCAAGTTATCAGGGCGGGTAAGCAAGTGAGGAAGGCAAGCAATATGTCTGAGACCAAGCTTTTGGTTACAAACTGGAAGAACTAGGCAATTAAGTAAATACATTGAAAATAATGAGAGCCAGGTTTTTTACTGTCATAGAAAACAATTATAAATATAGGAAGGGATAAGGTTAGAATACACTCTATGATTTGAGACGAGATTGAAAGTATCAATGTGAACTCACTTTTTAATATTGTGGAGAGAAACAAAAACAGGCATAAATGTTTGTATGTGTTTCCTAAATATACATGCTATAGGGTATAGAAGCAATTACACCACACAATAGCAATAAGCACACCAAGTGCCCAGATAAATAAACTCCTGATTAAAAGAAGTCAATGATCCTAGCTACTTGGGAGGCAGTATCAGGAGGATTAAGATTTAAGGCAAGTCCAGCAAAGTTCCTGAAACCCCATCTCAACCAATAGCTGGGAGGGTTGTACACACCTGTCATCCCATCTACTCAGGGAAGCAAAAATAGAGGATCACAGTCCAAGCTGGCCCAGGCATAAAGTGACACTCTATCTCAAAAATAACCAATACAAAAAATGGTTAGCAGAATGGCTCAAGCAGTAGAGGGCTTGCCTAACAAGTCCAAGGCCCCAAGTTCAAACCCAGTACCACAAAAAAAAAAAAAAAAAAAAGCCAGTGATTCTTAGAGAAGTAGTTAGTTACAGGGCTGAGACTGAGCAAATTCAAGACTCAAAATATCCTAATATCTTGCTACACCAAAAGGTGATGAAGTACTCAAAAAAACGTTAAGGACAAATTTTTAAAAATAACTAGTTTTAAGGGGCTCCTGGTAGTCAAGTATAGCATCATTTAAATAAAAGAACAGTGACAAACCATAATCCATTGAAGAAAAGAAGAACACTATTCTGAGATAAGTGAATAAAGAAAGCTTTACTCTACTGTACAATGCCAACAAATAAATCCAGAAGAAATGACAGAATAAGATCACCATCTGGCACCTTTCAGAACCATATAGTACCTGGTAATATTTGTCAGTGGATACTGAAAATAATGAAAATTTGATAAGAAATAGGCTACCACACAGCCTCAAAGCATCTCTGTGCAAAATACTTATTAATGAGTACAACATCCTCATTAACTTGTAAGGTCAAGAAATGTGGCAAACACCATCTTAACCAAGTGATAAAAATTATTACCACTAATAGAATACATGCCATCCTGTTCTTCCTGATATACACTAAAAAGAATATACCATCAATTTAACCCTAACCCAAAATACATAAACCAAAAGTAAATGTAAGACAAAACCTTATTGAAGGATGTGCTACAAACTAGCTTGCAGTTTTCAAGAAATGTAAAGGGCATGAGATTGAATGGGATGACTCACACCAATAATCTCAGCTACTAGAAGTCAGCAATCAGGAGGATCAAAGTTGGAGGACAGCCAAGACAAAAAGTTAGCAAGAGGATAGGAGATAGGGCTCAAGTGGTAGAGTGCCTGCTTTGCAAGTTCAAAGCCCTAGTTCAAATCCAAGACCCACCCAAAAAAAAAAAAAAAAAAAAAGTTAGCAAGAACCCATCTTAACCAATAAACTGGACCTAATGGTGTGCCTGTTATCCCAGCAACAGAGGAGAAATAAGTAGGAGAATCGAGGTCTAGGCCAGCCCCAGCAAAAATGCAAGACCCTATTGGAAAAATAACTAAAGTAAAAAGGGCTTGAGACCTGTGGTACAATGCCTGACTAGCATGCACAAGGTCATGTGTGAGGACCTGGGAATTCTCCCCAAGACCACAGAAAGAAAAAGGAAAAAAAAAAAAATCAAGGTCATGAAAGACAAAACTGAGGAACTGTTCGACTGAAGGAGACTAAAGAGACATAATTAAATGCAATGTGTGAACCTAGACTAGACCTGTAAACAACATTACTGGGGAAATCAGCAAATTTTGAACTTTATAGATTAAACAGTAACATCGAATTAATGCTATTTCTGAATAATGAAAGCTGTAAAAGAGTTATTATTATGTAGAAGAGTAATTCTTACACTTTGGAAATACCATTTATAATACTAAGTACTGAAATCCTTTAATGGATTCTCATTATACTTAAAATCACATCCAAAAATTTTGGTAAGGTCTTACATTATCTGGCCATCATCCAACTCTCTGACCCTATTTCAGGACATTCACACTATACATTTAAGTCAATAAATTATATGCTCTCCTGGCAGTCATTTGACTACATAACTTTTTCTTAATTTTAAAACAACATGCATAGAGAAAGTCTGAAGGCGGTAAGAGAGTGAACCAAGCATATATTTGAGGGCAGAATGTCAAGTCCCTGAAACCAAAGTGGGTCTGAGAATGTACCTGGCATGGCAGGAAGGCCAATATGGTCACACAGTGAGCATGGGAGAAAATGTCTTGAGTAATAATGACACCTTGAGTACAATTGTAACACTTCTGGCTTTTACTGTATGGAGTGACAATTTGGACAAAAGAATAAGATGATCTAATGCACAGAGTCACCATGGGTACTATGAAGAAAACTGAGTGCAGGTAGCAATAGCAGAAGTAAAGAAATCAGATAAGGAGCTACTTCAGTAATCCAGTCAAGAGATTATGCTAATGTCTTTCCTCTCAAAGAACTCTAAATTCCATGTGCACAGATACTGGGTCTGTTTGGTTTTGTTGCTAGCCCAAGGAAGTCAGTAAAAGATCATTTTTAAAAAGCAACCTTTTTTGACTTTGAAAAGTAAAGCCTAAGATTCTGTTTGAAAATGAACAGGAGCTACCAAAGAATGAGCCCATAACAAGGGTGTTCCAAAAGCTGAGGCAAATGAAGAAGAATGAAATGTTATCATTCACTGGTAAGTGGATGGAATTGGAGAACATCATTCTGAGTGAGGTTAGCCTGGCCCAAAAGACCAAAAATCGTATGTTCTCCCCCATATGCAGACATTAGATCAAGGGCAAACATAACAAGGTGACTGAACTTTGATCACAAGATAAAAGCGAGAGCACACAAGGGAGATATGAGGATAGGTAAGACACCTAAAAAATTAGTTAGCATCTGTTGCCCTCAATGCAGAGAAACTAAAGCAGATACCTTAAAAGCAACTGAGGCCAATAAGAGAAGGGGACCAGGAACTAGAGAAAAGGTTAGATCAAGAAGAATTAACTTAGAAGGTAACACACATGCACAGTAAATTAATGTGAGTCAACTCCCTGTGCTATCCTTATCTCAACCAGCAAAAACCCTTGTTCCTTCCTATTATTGCTTATACTCTCTCTTCAACAAAACTAGAGATAAGGGCAAAATAGTTTCTGCCAGGTATCGAGGGGGTGGAGGGGAGAGGGAGGGGGTGTGGTGGGTGGTAAGGGAGGGGGTGGGGGCAGGGGGGAGAAATGACCCAAGCATTGTATGTACATATGAATAATAAAAAAAAAAAAAAGCTGAGGCAATAGAGCAGCTAAAAATATGCCTGGCTAAGCAAGGCCAAGATTGCTGTAGAGTAAGGATTGATGAACTTTTTTCTGAAAAGGGACATTTAGACTTTGCTCAGGAAAAGGAAAAATAAAGGATAGAAGGTGAGTATTCATATAACCGCCCTTACCTGCCCCAAAAAAAAAGTACCAGTCTACTGGAGGGGAAGAGTGGTCAACATGAACATGGGCAGTTTCACACTCTACCCCCAATGATACCTGTTGTGGTTTCGGCTTGGGCCCCAGCTGGTGGTGCTACTGAAAATTGACTGGATCATGAGGACACTAGTGTCATCAATGGGTTAGCCCAATGTTGAGTTCATTGCTGAATCAGCTATTAGGAGGTAGGGCCTAGTTGGAAGAAGTGGGCCACTGGGAACATGCCTTTGAAGCATCTATCTTATCCCTGGTCCCTTTCTGTCTTCCTGCTTCCCCAACACCATGAGAGGAAAGTGTCACAGGCTCCTTCTTCCATGAAGTTCTGCCTTTTCTCAGACTCAAAGGAATGAAACCAGCTGACCATGACTGAAACATGTGAAACCATGAGCCAAAATAAACCTCTCTTCATTTTTTTTATTCTTTTTGTTGTTTTTCTTTTTTTTAACCTTTCCTCATTTAAGTTGTTTTTCTCAGGTATTATGTCACAGCAATGAAATTCCAAGTAACACAGCATTCAAATTCCAAAATAACTTTCTCTCCTTCAGAGAGCCTATACATTTCAACTTGGGCACCTAGCACAGCTGACTAGGATCAAGGTAATTTGCGAGGTTGTCAATTTATATGTGCTCATCTATTTGTTAAAATTCAACCACCTTAAAGCAAATATACAATAGCTTAATTTCAAAAATCTCATGAAAAGGGCTGTGAGTATAGCTCAGTAGTATTACTATGAATAAGGCCCTGAGTTTAATCCAAAGCACCATAAAAACAAAATCAAATGTCTTGGGGGGAAAAAAACTAGAAAATGAAAACATTTCTTTAAAAACACCAAAAACAAGTGCAGGATAAATCCCTATCAGAAATTCTAGGAGTTTTTTGAGGTTTTTTGTTTATTTCAGTACTAGGGTTTGAACTCAGGGCCTCACTGTTGCTAGGCAGGTACTCTAACATTTGAGCCATGCCCCCAGCAGAAATTCTAGTTTTAAAAAGTTTTTAAGAGACAGGTGTGAAGATTAGACAAAGTAATACTGCAATTCACATTTCTGTAACTCTTTATCACTCAAATCTATACTTAGGGCTCTGTACTTCAGACCACCACCTAGAGGGAGAAAGGAATTAAAAATGAGGACCTGAGCCAAAGTTACAGATCCTTCCTGAGCCTGACTTTCTGGCTCTTTCTTCACCCAACTCATCCCATGAGAAATCACTGATAAAACACTGCTGGCAGCAGAGTATAACAGAAAGCAACCAGTTCAGGGAGATGGGATCTCAACCAAGTTGTGCCAAAAAGTTAGCTATGTGAGCTTAAACCTTTTGTGAAAAAACCCAAGACCACCTTTTTATGGTTATGTAAAATGATAATCCCGACAAGTTCTTTTATAAATAAGACATCAAAAACATCAAAACACAGAAACACACATAAGATTTTAAATCTTTCTTTAAATTTTTGTATTTACACATCTATGCAGAAAAAATTACTGAACCAAATTAAGGTCTGATGACTACACATATTCCTTGAGGCCAGAAACCAATTACAATACATCTTTATATTCTCCACACTTTCTCCCATAATGTGGTTCACACAGCCCTCCATTAGTACTTATTAAAATACCTTAATAATGTCTGTATGCACATGTGAATAAAAGAAACTTAAAAAAGATACCTCAACTATGTCATTAGTGCAATACTGTTTCAGTATCTCCATCCCTAAACCAACAATCAGAATGCAAGCACCATTTGTAAAGTAAAATGAAACAGCAATATTTTCTTCCCTGAACAATAAAATATTAGTGCTTACAAAATATTTCAGAAATTACTAGTCCATCAACTTCATTTTATAAATGAAAAGAATGAGAGATAACTCTGATTAGAAATTTTACAAAATCTATATAAATTATTCTTCCATTAATAAAAACAAAACTGAAGCAGGCATGGCAGCACAAGCCTATAATCCCAGCATGCAGGAGGATCTCCAGTGAGTTTGAAGCCAATCTGTGCTACAGAGCAACACCCAGTGTCAAAACACCAAAGGCACACCTGTAATACCAGCTCGCTGGAGGGGGAGGTAGGAGGATTATGAGTTTGAAGCCAGCCTATGCCACACAGCAGGTTCCTATCCTGAGCTATATAGTAAGATCCTATTTCAAAAAAAAAAGAAAGAAAGAAAAAAATGGCTGGGGATATAGCTCAGTAGTAGAGTGTTTGCTTAGCATAGACAAGGCCCTGGGTTCCAACTCTACCACGACAAAACCTACAAACTATTAAATGACTATATGTTTCAAAAAGGTGTTCTGCTGGATTTGAACATCTCACTATTTGATTAACAAGTATCCAATTTTACAGTATATAGACCCAAGGAATTCTTGTACACACCTCCACTGCAAAATTTAATAAGCTCAGTAAGTTTATTAGCTTACCCTAACCCCCAAAAAAGTGAAAAAAATCTTAGTACTTGCTGAATGACTGTGCTAAGTAAGAAAAGATTACACAGAAGTGACAAAGAAACATACTTTTAGCTGTACTACCTAGGAATAAGTCCCACATTAATGCCTGGTGAAAGAAAAAGGGCATGAATGAAGTTTTACAGTTTCCAGCAGCATGCCACCTGATCCATTACCCACTATCCCCCCATATCCCCTTGTCTATTACTCTAAAACCATTAGCCAACTGCCTCCGAAGAACCGAAGCTCCTTCAGTGTTGGAATCAAACCTAATCTCCTCAATAAGGTTTCCAATCACAGGTTCATCATACTACAAGCATGTTTTATTGAATGTTCATTGAATGTTACTCATGTCAACATAAAAACTGCTTTGAAGGACTAGAGGTGTGACTCAAGAGCGAGAGTGTCTACTTTCCAAATGCAAAGCCCTGAGTTCAAAACCCCAATCCCACCAAGCTGGAAGTGTGGCTCAAGTAAAAGGTTCAATCCCCAGTACTGCCTAAATAAACAAACTACCCTGAAGATGTTTTAAAATGTTAATTCTAAAGTATCCCCGATTAACATAAAAAATGTTTATGCTAAATAATGACCCAACAGTCTAAGCTCTAAAATTGGCACCAAGGCATCATAATCTCTAGCAAGCTATTCAATATCTCTTCCTTTGGCAAACCAATCTGTCCAAACTAATCTTGCTTTGATGCATGAAGGATGGAGAAATTAAGCCAAATGGTAACCCAGACATATTAAAATTGGCCTACTTCCCACCAACATAAATGTGTGCAACCCAATCAAATTAGAGGCCTCCATGGACTTTTGACAGAGTGAAGGAGAAGGACCATTACAATTAGCCCAGGAGCTGCCAGTGGCCATCTTTCTCAATACATGAGCAAAGGTCTAAGAAGGATGCACCATGGAGGCAAGAAGATTTCCAGGGATGATGCCCAAACCTAAGGAAGGAATATCCCCAGACGTTCAGCTTACCAGAACAAGTACTTCTAGTTTAGCCTGGATTTCTGCTACTTGCACCCTAATACAACTGTGCTTCTCCTATGAAACCAGAATATATTACATAGGAAATGAGAAAATAAAGTGCCACAAAAACGATGTCACCGTTAAGTTCCGCAAAAAGAACCTTCATCAAATATTGAATGAGGTTAGTAAGCACTTGCTAAAGTAACAAAATTATTCCATTTATGTGCACCCCTGTTTATAAACAACTGATTTTAAGCAACCTACTCTGAACGGGCTATTTTGTCACTCAACTTTCAAATAACTGTAGCTCTTAAGTTAGAATCCTTCGTCTGTCGTTTTGAACTTAAGATGATCTACTTCAAGTGAACAATGTAATGAGTATAAATAAATATTTGATCCAGTGTCCCAATTCCCCCCCTTCCCTCAAACAACTACTCTTGGGAAATCTAAACCTGGCCCAAGAAAAGTCATAAAACAGAGTCTGGAAAAAGGGGCGGGGGGGGCACAGAGGGAAGTCTTCAGCCAGAGGCCCCCAAAGTGAAAACTAGCTGAGTAAATGTGAGCAGAGTTCCTCCCAGGTAGGACCCAGGCAACTGCAGGTTGGGTGGGGCCCGGCCAAGAGAGCAGGGTGACGTCCAGCCAACAGGCCGGGCGCGCTCACCAGGAAGGAATGCAGACCACACCTACGCTACCGGCCAGTTGGCCGGGCAGGGCCGGGCCGGGCCGGGCCGGGCCGGGCGGGGCGGGACGGCCACCGAGGGAAACCAGGGGACCGGGAGGAGCAGGGCGACCCCAGCCCGTCCCGCGCCCACCTCAGCAGCGTCTCGAGCGCGCCCTCGTGCTTGTCCAGCGGGCGTCCGAGCGCGGCGCGGCGCAGCTTGCTGAGCTCCTCGGCCGCGCGGCAGTACTGGGCCTGCTCCTCGCCGCCACTCGGGTACGTCTGCTGGATGAACTTCACCAGTGGCTTGGCCAGGTCCACCTCCGAGGTCTTCTTCAGCTGCACCGATATGAACGTCGCCATGATGACCGCCCGGCCGCTGCTCGGGTCGCAAAGACGACGAGGCACCGGCGGCGGACGAGCGGACCGACGGGCCGACGGACGTACGGCCGTCTGCGCTCCGGTCCGGCCACTTCCGGGAACTTCCGCGCAGGCGCAGTCGGAGGGAGCGCGCCGTGCGATCACGTGGGGGCGCCGCGTCGGCGAAGCTCACCTGGTGCCAGCGCGGCGACAACTGCGCGGTGAGACCCCTGCCGCGTCCGCATCTGGTCGCTTCCTCTGCCCCCTCACTGCGGCAATGGCGAGAATGAGCACTTTCATCCTCCGCCCGAGCAAGTCCACGGAGAAGCACTCTTTGTTACCTGCGAGCGCGGACGGCCACCTGCCCAAGACCTGCGGCCCCAGAGCCATTATGACCTACGACACCAGGGCCATTACGACCTACGATTCTGCTGCTGTTGATGGTCTTCTGGGTACAGGTTTGAATGAGTGCACAAAAAAATCTAGTACAAGGGCCCTGCCTTTGTGCAGTTTGCAGCAGGTAAGGACACAGACGGTATCACAAAAACTGTATCATAAGGGGAAAGAAGCAGGTGCTTGGACTTTCACTTGGAAGAACCTAACTTAAAGTAATTAAAGAGGCTTTCTCCAACAAGATGAACTTAAAATGACACTTTTGACATTAGAGGAAGGAAAGAGTAAAGAGAGGTTGAGTGGCAAACCCAACCAAAAGCACTTCCCATGTCCAAGGCGTAGAAACAAGTTGGGCAGAACTTAAAAACCAAACCGCATGTGGTGGTACTCGTCTGTAATCCTAGCACTCAGGAAACTGAGGCAGGAGGATCCACTGTTGGAGGCCAGCCCGAGCTACATTGCAAGAGCCTGTCTCAAACAGACCAAAAAAAAAAAAAAAAAATGCAAGTAGAAAATGAAAGGAATCGTTTCTCAGCCTTTTGGTCAAAATCAAGTAGAGAATAGAATGAAATAAATTGGAACAATAAGCAGGCATCAGTCATTCAGAACCTTGTATTGTACAATTAGTGAAAAAAGTACAGATAATGGACAAACTAAATAAAACCATAGGAAGTAGCCAAAAAAATCTAGAAAGTGGAATAGGATATTATTCTGTAAGATAACTGGCTCATCTTTCAACAATTTATTGTCTTAAAAAAGACAACTACTTTTTGAAAAGAAATGTAAGGGACATTACAGTCTGAACCTTTAAAATGCACTTCCAGGACAATTGAAGAAATCTGAGTGTAGTCAAACTGAATATTAGATAAGATGAAACCATTGCCCTAGAAAGGTGGAGATTATTGAAAAGAGCAAGTCACTAGATAGTATGTACATTATAGTAGTTTATTTTGGTTGAAAAATATACTGGTGTGTGTGTATATGATAAAAAATGGTGCCCTACAAGTGTATATTTTTATTTTCTTTATCATCTTTGTGTAATTTTTTGTAGTATACAGTATATACACCTTTTATTACAATAAAAGTTTATTTTACCACAATTTATGAGTTTCTTTATTTTAACTGAACTCTTCTTGGTTATGCTAAATAAAGTAGCCACCCTGCCTGGTGAGAAGAGAATACATAAAACCGAGAATGGAAGCAAAGAGACAAATCATGAGATTATTTCAGAAATCCAAACAGGAGAGACTGAAAGGTAACATAAGCAGGGGTAAGCAAAATTGATAGTTTTGGACTGCAGGTGTGCCTTAAGTGGTAGAGCACTTTGCAAGTGTGAAGTGTGGCATTCAAACCCCAGTCCCACCAAAAAATGAAAAGAAAAGGCAGCCAAAATTGATAACATTTTTGAGTTTAGAATTGAAGAATTTGCCAATGAATTGGATAGGAAAGAAAGGGGAAGGATCAAGGATAGCACCTTATGCACTGATGAGGATGGTCAAGTCAGGCACCAGTGGCTCATGCCCATAATCCCTGGCTACTCAAGAGGCACAAAAAAGGACTGGCAGAGTGGCTCCTAAAGCAGTTAGAGCATCTGCCTAGCAAGTGGGAAGCCCTGAGTTCAAACCCCAATACAACCAAAAAAATCAGATAAGACCAGTGGATAACACACTGATGAGAGGGGGGAATAAGCTGTACTTACATCCAAGCATTAGAATCACTGTATTAAAGATAAGGTACATGAGATTAGATCTCCACAAAGAGATCTTGTTTGAAAGTCAGTAGTCAGCATACAAATTACTTTTAAACCCTTGGGACTCTAAAAGAACACATAATATGTCAAAAGCTGTCTGTAAATATAGTACCAAATTAAGGGTTTTACTGTGTAGCCCAGCTGACCTTAAATTCAAGGGTTTCCTTTCTATGCCTCTCAAATTCTAGGATTATATATGTTCATCACCACACCTGACCAAATTGTGTATTTAAAGATAGAAGAGTCTATAATGTAGATTAGTTGACAAAACTGATTTATTAGGAAAGAATGAATATTCAGAGTAGATGCAAACACAAAGAAGCAGAGTACATGCAAAGAAGAAAGGAAAGGAAACCAGAGAAGTAAGTACACAAGGAAAGTGATAAGCCATCAGAAAGCTAAGTCATTTGTTGGTAAATGGAAGGGGAAAGAAAATGAACATAGATGCGATTAATTTTGTGGCATTCATCAAAGGAAGATTCAGATGACCCTATATGATGGAACTTAGAATAAAATCCAAAGTCTTTACTATAGCATGATCTGTCTCTTCAAGTTCATATTTTGCTACTTGCTCATTTACTCTTGCCAAGTCATACTGGTCTTACTCAGTTTCTCAAACTCACCGAGATCTTTGTTTAAAAAAAAAAAAAACATGGATTGCTTATTAGAATCAAAAAGAAAAAAATTTCTCCACAAAAATAGAGTGCTGCCTCCTCTTGGTATCTATCAAGAGCAAGACAACATTTGAAAATAGTATTCCTCAGGAGCAAAAAAGTTACCAGTTTGCAAACATAACAGGTGATTTGTGTGTGTGTGTGTGTGTGTGTGTGTGTGTGTGTGTGTGTGGTATTAGGGTTTGAATTCAGGGCTACACCTTGAGCCACTCCAGCCCTTTTTTGTGATAGGTTTTTTAGAAATAGGGTTTCACGAACTATTTTGCTGGGGTGGCTTCAAACTGAAATCCTACTGATCTCTGCCTCCTGAGTAGCTAGGATTATAGGCGTGAGCCACCGGCATAACAGGTGATTTAAACAAAAGATTGAAAAAAAACGGGCAAAAAAGTTATTGTAACCCCCATCTCAACCAGTAACGGGCAAGGTGGTACGTACCTGTGATCCCAACTTTATCTATGTGGGAGGCTGTAGGTGGATCTTGGTCCAGTCAGCCTGGGCAAAAATGTGAGACCCATCAGAAAAATAAAAGCAAAAAGAGCTGGAGGCACAACTCAGGTGGCAGAACCCTTGCCTAACAAGTGCAAAGCCCTGATTTCAAATTTCAGTACTGCTCCCCCCCAAAAAAATGGAATCTATCCATTTACCTTTTAAAACTGGATAGGTGATATGAGCTTCTTTGGCCAGCAGGGTGTTAGCAGTCGTGATACAAGCTGACACTTCAGTCTTCATTTTGGTCCTCTCACTGCACTTGAAGTCCTGTGGCTTCCATGTAGTCACCCAGTCACTATCCTAGCTCAATAGTCTGCTAATTGTCAAAAGTCTGAATGAAGCTATCTTAAATTACCCAGCCCCCAGCCAACCCCCCCAAGTGACACAGACATAATAAGCAAGCCTACCAGTGGTCAGCAAATCCAGCCTAGACCAGAAATTACCAACCAATCTACAGAATCACATGCCAAATGAGTCACCTGCTGCATAGTGACGTTTTCATCAGTGATGGGCTGCAGATATCTTGTTTCCATAAGATTGTGACAGAGCTAAAAAATTACCATCACCTAACAACACAGTTCCTTTATATAATACTTAATAAATGATTGTTTTACTGGCTTGTGTATTTGCTATATTTTGTATCATTATTTTAGAGTATACTAGTTCTACTTATAAAACAAACAAAAAAAGTTTAACTGTAAAACAGCCTCTGGCTGAGCCTTCAGGAGCTTTTTCAGAAAAGGTGTTACAGGAGATGACAGCTCCAGCATGTTGTTGCCCCTAAAGATCTTCCAGTGGAACAAGATTTAGAGGTGGGGGCTGGCAGTGTGGCTCAAGTGGCAGAGCACCTACCTAGCAAGCATGAGGCCATGAGTTCAAGCCCTAGTGCCTCCAAATAAAAAGTTGTAGAGATGGAACAGAGTGCTATTCATGGTCCTGACCCTGTGTGGCCTTAGCTAGTATGTGTGCTTGTGTTTTAGTTTTTAACAAAAGCTTTGAAAAGTTTAAAAAAATAATAAAATTTTAAACAAAAGCTTATACAGGTTAAGGATACAAGGAAGAAAATATTTCTGTACAGCTATACAACATATTTGTACACATTTGTATAATGTTACTACAAAAGAGTCAAAAATTTCAAAAAATTTAAAAGGTACACACCTGTAATCCCAGTACTTAGAAGCCTGCAGAAGAAGGCGTGCAAGTTAGAGACCAACCAGGGTACATATTGAGACTCTCAAAAAGACAAAAACAACAAAATTTTTAAGTTGTAGCTGCATGCTGGTGGCTCATGCCTGTAACCCTAGCTACTCAGGGGCAGAGATCAGGAGAATCAAGGTTCAAAGCTAGCCTGGGCAAATAGTGCTCAAGACCCTTTCTCAAAAAAAAAAAAAAAAAAACCATCACAAAAAAGGGGAAACTGGTGGAATAGCTCAAAGTGGAGGCCCTGAGTACCTTAAAAAAAAAAAAGTTATGAAGTTTAAAAAAAAAGTTACCATAAGCTAAGATAAAGTTATTATTGTTTGGTGTTTGTAAAGTCTACCATAGTGCACAGTCATGTGAATGAGGACTTCACATTCCCCCACCACTCACTCCAGTCCTATGAGCTCCATTCATATATTTTAGATACTTTTAGAATCACAAATACCATTGTGTTACAATTGACTACAGTATTCCATACAGTAAAATACTGACAGATCTATAGCCTCAGAGCAATAGACTGTAACACACAGCCGAGGTGTGTGGTAGGCTAGCCCATCTAGGTTTATGTATGTACACTCCATGATGTTCTCACAATGAAGTCAGCTAATGATAC